TAAGGCGTGATTAAAAATTTAAAGAAAAAAAAAAAAAAAAAAAAACACACTCTGATTATGTCCGTTTTGGGTATCTCCATCACCTCTAGCTCAGCCTTCTATCGTTTTGGATATCTCCACCTCCACCTCCATCACCTCTAGCTCAGCCTTCTATCTCTTAGACACAGCCTCTGTATTCAAACCCAACATCATTTTGCTGCTACTTTTCGACACCTTATCCATCTATAAACTGTCATCTGCGTTACTTCCTGTTCCTTATTCTGACCAGTTCATCATCTTCTGAGCTTCTCGGCGCCCTTGTACGTTTCTTCTCTTCATCAAGCACTGGGGTGGATGTCTGTTTGGAGTCAGTGAGGTTCAACCATCACAGGATTCATTAACTTTACACTCGTATTAACAGCCCTTCAGTGAATGAGTGTTTGTTTTTCTCACAGACTGAACCATCAGGTTACATCAGTTCACATGTCAGCGACCTCAGGGCCAGAGGAGCACGTCATTAAAATCCTTTCATTACCACACATCACACATCACTGCCTTGACGCTCAGCTAAGAATAGCACCAGACCATTAGGTGTAGTTATAGGCAACTGAAATTAACGCATGGTCAAAACGACACACACTGTATATCTGATAAATCCACTGTCCGTCCACTTGGTGTTGCTCTGATACACATCCAATACACAGGTTATTTACACATGCTGCGGGGTTACCAAAACCCAGATCCCTGGTAAATATATTTACCAAAACATATCTTCACGTGACCATTACAGTAGACTTTTAGGTTATTCCATATAATTATTATAAATTTATGCCACATATATATATATATATATATATATATATATATATATATATATATATATATATATATATATATATATATATATATATATATATATATATATATATATATATACATATATAAATATATATTAATAATATATCTAAAATATAAAGATACAAAAAAATAAAAAGCTTGCATGTAATTTTCTAGCCTGGAATCAATATAGTACATCTAAAAAACTGTCATAATATATATACATATATGTATGTATATACGTATGTGTAAATATATATGCATGTACATACATATGTATATATATTATGACAGTTTTTTAGATGTACTATATTGATTCCAGGCTAGAAAATTACATGCAAGCTTTTTATCTTATATATATTTTGTTTATATATATATATATACATACATATATACATACATATATGTATATATATATATATACATATATGTATGTATATACGTATGTGTAAATATATATGCATGTACATACATATGTATATATATTACGACACCATTTTGGATCCTTGAACGAAGTTACGTTATAATCAGTCATTAAATTCTTTCGCAGCTGCGCTCTTCCAGTTTTTTTTCACGCTCGGCCGTGCTTTAAGCAAATATTCAAGATCGTCAGTGAGAGTTGCTGAGGAGAATGACACTGTGTGAGTGTTAGTTATGTAACTTCACCATGGCTTTTGGCTTTTTCTCCTGCTCTTTCACAGTACAGGTTATTTCATTTGTCGAAACCTTAGACAGGAGTTTGACTTCCTCTCTTTGTCTCCTCGGGGTTTGCTGAAAAAAAACAGAGAAATGTTTCGCATTCTACAACAGCAACCCTACATTATCAGGTGTTTCCTGCCTCGTTTTCTTTTTGCTCCTGACAGTCCTTTTGTAATAGTGTCGTAATCATGGTCGACGGCAGTGTGTGGTGACGCTAACGTAATTAGCCCAGCATCTTCATCATCATCATCATCAGCAGCAGCAGCAGCAGCAGCAGCTCCTACTCTACATGATCTTATATTTCCCGAGTTGCTCCCATGTTACGCCCGGCACAAAAGACGCCCCTGAAATTAAAGACTCTGACGAGGGGTGTAAAAATAGAAGCCTGGTAATGCCTGTAAATACGATGCATCTTATCCATGAGTGTTTATTTCTGTGAATGTTGGCCGTGGCCGCACGAGGCCCCAGATTACAGAGCAGTTTGGATTAGTCATGGATATACACCAACAGCTCTCGCTGTAAAAAAAAAAAAAAAATGATGTCAATCAGTGTGAATCCAGCAGCACCCGTCGCATGCAAACTTGGTTTTATTCCACGTGGGCCAAGTTTCTCCAGGCTAAGTCATGCTGTGAGCTGGCTCAAAGGTCTGCAATTTGATAAATCAAAAAGTAGTTTTCATGAAATTATTTTGATTTTGAAATACTGATATTTTAAAAAAAATCTACTGTAATGGTCACATGTTGAGCTTTTTTCGTTCATTATTTTTAGAGATACATGTTAAATAATCACCTGGACACAAATTAGTTAGTCCTGGGTTCAATTCCTAGAGGAACCACACACTTGTCACCTGCAGGGGGCAGTCTGTCGCTGCTTACACACGAATTTCCTTCGTATTTATCTGTGCTCAGCTCAGATAGTGCGTCTAAACGTCCGGTTCTCTGGACTGTTTACAACAACAACAATAACCTCAGTTTATGAATCTGCACAATTAACATCTGACCTTCGACAAACACTGAGGCCATCTGCTGGCAACGACAGACGGCCTCCTCTAATTGGTTTCTAGCAGGCACTTCACTGCAGATTTCTGCCAGAGACTAGGAGCCCAGGGCATGATGGGTAATTCTTTTGTTTTGTTTTGTTGTTTTTCTCCAATCAGTGAAACCAGATGATCATCCAGGCTGTCAAATCATTTAGTCTCTTTATCAAAGTAGAGATCCAAACCTCTACTCTGAGGGCCGTAGGAAACCTTTTCCATGGACACCTTTGGCCCTCGAGTCAGACCTTGAACACCCAGTAGCTGATTTAGACTAAACGCTAAACGTTTACGTGTAGAGATGTAACATAGACTGTCAGTTTGAGAACCGGGATGTACGATATGCTAGCATATACAGTAGCATCCAATGGTAAAGTTAAAGATTACGGCCAACTCAATAAGAGAACCTGTTGTTTTGTTTGTTTGTTTGTTTATCTGTTGTCTAATAATATATTAATAAAGCCCAGCGCTGCTGCTGCTCCAGTACTAGGTTGTTTCATTAAATTTAATGGATGGCATTAGCTCTAAAAAATCTTTCTCCGTGATGCAAACAGGAAGAGAGGGTGATGGAGGCTGTAATTACGTGGTGAAATCAGCTGAAACAAATCAAAGACTCAGTCTGTTGGGGCTCCGTCAGCTCTCAGTCCACTGCACCCAGATGGTCATTCATCAGTGTGAGGTAATGGCTGTGGAGCAGTGTCGTCCTGCAGCGTCCACCACATATACTCTATGCTGTATCAGGGCCGTTACAGTACCTGTATTTGTGTACCAATACACACGTGTACTAGGCTCATTTTTTGAACAGGTGCCGAACCATATATTTTTTAACTGGAAACGCAGAGTGGAACAAAGTTCAACTTCTGCTGGAACGCAATTGTGTTCGGACCCAATCACTGTCTGCTCGGGTCGCTCAGTCGCCTCAAGATATTTTACATTAATTAGCAGTTAGCACAAGCTAACACCCAGCCCATGTCCATGCACTTGTGTTCTTACACAGAAAAAAAGTACATATATATATTTGTGTGTCTGTGTGTATGTATTTATATATATATACAGTACATGTTTATATGACATATGTGTATATACATGTTTGTATTCATGTATATATGTATGAATGTCTATAAATATATACATACATATACAGATATACTCACATATATATCTTTATATATATTCTTAGATAGACATATAAAATCACATATATGTCATATATATGTTATGAACTTCAATAAAGTGTCGTTTTGTCATTTGTTAAAAAATGACGAACTGTTTTGTGACATTTCTTTCCGGACCAAACTGTGATGTCACATCAAGGTGTCTTATTAATCAGTACGTTTATATATAGTGATTACTTGGTTGATCAACTAATTGGTTGGATGACATTTATTTCCCATTTGCTTGTCACATTTTGGTTTGGCCAATTTTTTTCTGCAAAGAGGGAAACAGACGTTTTTTCAGGGAGAATAAAATGGACAGATTATCGTAGTGTTTGTATAAGGAACTACACTTGAGCTTCATCTATAATCACGACTGGTCACCTGCAGTTCAGTAGAGGTCATCGTTGGACACCACCTTCTCTGGGATTAAAAGAGTTCGATTTTAAATCAACACCTGAAAAAAACAAACTGATTTTTCACTCTGCATTGATCTTTGAAGTAGACACACACACACACACAGACACACACACACACACAGTAAAGCTCAGTGTAATCTGCGTTGGTTCCTAACTTGTCACTAAAGGGGTCAAGTCCAAACTCTTCTGTTCTGCCTGATCTTTCCTCTGTCGCTACATTCAACAACCAAATCCTCAGTTTTTATCACGGCCTCCATCCTCACCAAACCTAAACATTTATAGCCATCAGTCGTGTAAAAAAACCTTAGAGATTTAACTGTATAATAACTGTTCCGTCTTTAATGACCCCAGGTGTGAATGTGTGTGGTGAATACTCCTTTAGTTTAATGCTAATTTGTTATAAAAGGCAAGGCCGGAGTGACACGGCAACGTAAACACAATATAGGAGGATATTTTCAGTTATCATAATTAAAAAGCAACATTATATAAACATGTTTTTCCTAGTTTCTGGCAACTTTTCCAACCATAAATCTTAGCTCTTTTTTTTATTATTATTCAGCTTCTAAATCAGCCTCTTTGTAACAGATTATAAAGTCCTTCAGGGGTGTGTATATCGACAGCAACATAGTTATATATAACATAACGTATATTACTCTGTAGTTCTATCGAGGATTGTGTTCCATCAACCTCCAAGTAAAGATGTCAGACACGACCAAACACTGTTTTGTTTGGTCGTCTGCACATGAGGAGCTGTCCTTTCAGCACCAGCTGTTAGAGCTCAGTACAGGTTAGAAACAATACAGTGAAGTAGAAATGCACTAACACTAGTCTGTCCATCTATTTATGAGTTAAACCAATTATTGGTCTCACGACTAATTCATTTGCATTTTTGAGTTTTTAAATCTCAAATTGTCCATTTTATTTAAATATATATGTTAAATATATATATATATATTTCTGTGAAAAACGACATTGTGTGTCATTGTAATGTGGTCACAGTAGCTCCTGTTGAGATTCGCACAGTGAATAAGGTTTATTCTTAAGAACCTAAAAAGTGGCTCCTTATTTCCTGATTCTGTTGAGATTCACACAGTGATTAAGGTTTATTCTTAAGAACCGCTGACCCTAAAAAGTGGCTCCTTATTTCCTGATAAACTTTAGAGTTACTTCAAGCACTGACCTGCTGCCACTGCCTTTCTTCTCTCTCTCTCTCTCTCTCTCTCTCCCTCCCTCTCTCTCCGTACGACCTCTGCTCTGTCCTCGTGTGTTGGCTTTCGATCCGTCACATGTGCACGTATATCCAAAAACAAAGAAGGCTGCTCCCGACGCTCATCGTCGTTCAGAAAATCTCCTCTCTAGGTCCAAAGAGCAAATAATCCACTCTTGTTTAAATGGGGGGGAAAAAACTAGTCCAATTGAGTCTTTGACAGATCCTGAGTGAGGGAACACAGGCGTCTGCGTCTTAAAAATATATACGTCTCCGTCGTCGTCTCCGTCTTCTTCTTCTTCTTTCAGTAATGTCTTTGTCATCTAGCTGTATGTACATGTAAACATCATGACTCAGTGTACAGGCTCTTGTTCTACCACTGTTCTGTTGGGTACTTCATATGTACAGGAGAGTACAGTACTGGTATGTCTGTGAGGATGTGTGGTACGTGCTTAAAGGGATCTTTCAGAGTTTCTCCAGAGTGATTATGTAAGAAACTGACATGGTCAAAAAGAAAAAACTTACCAAAATTAGGAATTTTCTTCTTTTCTTTTTACCAAAAGGGTAAAACCTCACTGACATATTTGCTGCTTTATTTTTTACTATTAAATGCTCTGGTACCAAACTCCATTTAGGAAATTAGCAATTTTACAAATTGGCACAGTGAAATTAATAACCCTTCAAAGCCCCGATTACCATATGAAAATTTGATATTTTTTGTGATAATTTAGTTTGAAATAATTGGTTTAAATGTCCCAAAAAAGTAGCAAAAAAAAAAAATTATCCAATATTAAATCACAATATTTTGCTCTTCGCAAGCTAGAAGTGCTGATGATTTCACTGTGGACTTTGGTTTAGGAGAGTGGGTGTGGTTCAAACCTCAGGTTCCACATGGGAAAATGTAGATAATTATAATAATAATAATAATAATAATAATATTTGTAAGATTATCAAAACAGTTCTGTAATATTTCTTTGCTATGTCAGTACTGCATATCACACTTTAAAAAAAAAAGCCAAAATACCCCTTTAATGCCTCACCACATCTCCATACTGTGTTTGTGCCTTTCCACTAGATTAAAGGGTCTTTCTGTTCTACTGTTCCTTCCGAGCTCCCAGATTTAGGGATGTGTTTCACCGGAGTGAAGCAGATTATCATTTGCTTTTTTTTTTTTTTTTGTAAACCAACCCTCGTTACCGTTAACGAGTCGCTCCTCCTTCGTGGCAGCCAACTTGTGCAAAAAAAAAAGTTTTTTAAAGCCCATTCATGGGTTTTTACTCCAGGCAGTCTTACACCCCCTACAGGTATGTTTCTCGTGCGTCCAAACAGAACGCATACACGGATTTCTTGAAGTCCATGTTGCTGTTGGCTTTCAGATTTGCCTTCTCGCCCTCTGCGCTTGCAGTCGGGTCATTGTTCTCCACATCCTGGGACTTGTTGGAGGACTTGCTGCCCTTGCGCTTCAGTTCTGGACTAGCTCTGCCGCTGTTGGGCTCATCCTTCAAAGAAGACTGGTCCTGGTCCGTCTCCCGGTGGTAGAAGTAGTTGAAGTTTGATACTATGACCGGAACCGGCAGTGCAATAGTCAGAACGCCAGCGATGGCGCACAGGGAGCCCACGATTTTACCGCCCACCGTCACCGGCCTCATGTCTCCGTAGCCGACGGTTGTCATTGTGACCACAGCCCACCAGAACGCATCTGGGATGCTGGAGAAATGGGATTCTGGGTCGTCGGCTTCCGCAAAATAAACGGCGCTGGAGAAGAGGATGACGCCGATGAAGAGGAAGAAGATGAGGAGACCCAGCTCCCGCATGCTTGCTTTTAAGGTCTGACCCAGGATCTGCAGACCCTTGGAGTGTCTGGATAACTTGAAGATGCGGAAGACCCGCACGAGGCGGATGACCCTGAGGATGGCCAGGGACATGGCCTGCTGGCCGTTCTGGTGCTCCTGACCCTGCTGCTCCGCCAGCTCCGTGCCCACGGTGATGAAGTAAGGCATGATGGACATGATGTCGATGATGTTCATGATGGTCTTGGAGAACTCTGACTTGCTGGGACAGGCGAAGAAGCGCACGATGAGCTCAAAGGTGAACCAGATCACACAGGTGGTCTCTATGATGAAGAAGGGGTCGGTGAAGGTGAGGGACGGCCGAGGCACGGTGCTGTTGCTATTGTTGTCCATCCGGATGGTCACCGGCAACTCCCGCTCGTCCCTGAACTCCGGCAGAGTCTCTAGGCAGAAGGTGATGATGGATATAGTGATGACGATCACAGACACTATGGCGATGCCTCTCGCAGGACTGGAGCTCTCCGGATACTCAAATATAAGCCAGACCTGCTTCTGGAACTCGTTCTGAGGCAAAGGCTTCTCCTCCTCCTTGATGAACCCTTCGTCCTCCCTGAACCTCTCCATGGCCTCCTCCCCCAACTGATAAAACCTGATCTCATCAGCAAACACATCAATGGACACGTTCACGGGTCTCCTGATTTTCCCCCCTGACTGGTAAAAATACAAAATCCCGTCAAAGCTGGGTCTGTTGCGGTCGAAGAAGTACTCGTTGCGGAGCGGGTCGAAGTACTTGATTCTCTTGGCTGGATCACCGAGCAAAGTGTCTGGGAATTGGTTCAAAGTGCCCAGTTGGGTCTCATACCTGAGTCCGGCGATGTTGATGAGCACCCTCTCGTTACTCTCCGTGTCCAGGTCGATGCCCAGCATGTCCTCGTCGAACAGGTGCGGGCTGTGATCCGCGCGTAAAAGCGCATCCATGGCGTTCTCGCTGCAGCTGAAGGTGTTGTTCATGTCGTTTATCTTCCACGAACCTCCTCCTCCTCCTCCTCCACCTCCGTGGAGCTTCTGTGCCGGACTCCCCTTGGTGTTCAGCTCTTTAGTCCCGTACTCCTGGACGAAGCCCGGCTGAGGAACATCCAGCGCGTTCCGGCAGCTCCCCTCGGCATTGTTGCCTCCTCCTCCTCCTCCTCCTCCTCCTCCTCCGACGCCACCTGCGCTCCCTTTGGCACCGCCGTTCTCAAAACTCACCAAGGCTATCTCCATGGCGCAGCCATCCAAAGTCAGTGCGCGAGAAATGACGCGGACTTGTTGATGTGCAGCGCAAACATCCTCCGAGATTCTCCAGCTGTCCAAAAAAATGTAGGAGAAAGTTTTTTTGATTTACGCCAAAAAAAACAAACAAAAAAACCCAACGTCTTGAGGTCGATGTTTGTTCTGTCGCGCTCTTTATTTGACAACAAACGCGATGATGAAAACGATGATGAAGGAAACGATGTTGTTGCGACTGAAGCCGACGACGATCTGGATGAAGTAGATATTAAAGAGAGCAGAAAGAGAAGGAGCTGGAGGACCCGGATGAGGGAGGGAGAGAGACGAATGGGCAGAGAGAGAGAGAGAGAGAGAGGGAGGAAGAGCTGTGGACTGGGGGTTAAACCAGGGAGGAGAAGAATGATCATCTCCATCTCTGTCATCAGAGATATATATATTTTTTTTTTGTAAGGACTCGACCCTGAAAAGGCTGAAGTCTAGTCTTCAGGAACAGGTTTTTTGTTTTTGTAACGACTCGACCCTGAGAAGGCTGAAGTCTAGTCTTCAGGAACAGACGAGCTGATCTGGGATCAGTTCATGACAGAGGAAAAACTAGGTTCCTCCAAATATAAATAGTACAGTGAATATATGTGTTAATCTGTTGCTGGTTTATATATAAAAAAAACTCCACAGTGCCCCCTGTCCTCCCCCCCGTCCTCCCCCTCTCTGGGTCTTACGTAAGGTCACATCCTCTAAGTGCTTTTCTGTTGGACACACTCCACTGTCTGCGACTGTTCTCTGGACAAAGACCTGGACTTCCATCTCATCACGTCCATGCACTCCTCCACTCAGGGCCCCGCTCCTCGTCTTTGTGTCTTCTGTGTCCAGCCCCGAGGTCCCACTCTGGACACAGCTGCTCTTCACTCACAGACTCAGAAAGAAAAACATAACAAACAAAGCGTATCTGTACGCTATCTATCGAATCCTAGATCAGGTCTTTGTGTTGTTTTCAGCGCCACCTCTGTCCCACTTCAGGGCAACAACTCGTCAAAACTTGATGTTTTTCTTGGTTCTGTCAGGTTGAATACTTGTTTGGAGAATTTTTTCGTATCGATTTATGTCATTGATTTCAGTCTCTCTTTCTCTCCTAACAATAATTAAAGACTCAGCTGTGTTGATCATACAGTCAAGTAATCAAGGAAACTGGTTTTGACCCATACGTTGACCTTTAACCGGTAAATCGACGATATCTTGACCACCTGTCAACAGAAGATAGTTAGTAATTAGTAATTAAAGAGTCAGTTGTTTATTTTAAAGTCGATCAACATTCATTCTTGTGGCAAGAACAAAACTTCTGGTACAAAAAATGAATTCAAGAAAAACACATAAAATAGACAATAGCTAATAAAAAATTTCTCAAAAAATCACTTATAAGTTTGAGGTTTAAAAAAACCCAGGATCATTCATCCTGAAGTGAATGAGCCAAATCACATTTTTGACTCCCTAAAAACAATGCATTCACATTTACTTTTTTTATAGGAGACATATCATGGCGCCGCCCTAGTGGTCACTTGTTGCATCAGTTCCGCACAATTTTCCTTTTGTGCAATTGTTCCCCAAATGTCTAGTAATGGATTGTTCTTTCACACTTTTCATACTTTTACTTGTGATATTTGTGACATATAGTACTATTTTCATGTTGCATGTTTTAGGTTATTATTTTTATTGTAGTATTTTTACCCACTGCAGTACAACTGTACATCAAAAGTACTCATAAAATCTTGTCAAAATCCAAACGACCAAGCGGTGCTGTCAACTGAGGGACATTTTAAAGGGAACACGTGTGAAAGGTTACATGCACGTGCACACATAAACAAAGAGGGGGCAGTGTTGCTAAAAGCAGAGAAAGTGACCTATTTAAAAGGTTAGTTCCTCAGCCCTGGGGTGGATTAGGTAAACAAAGCACACACTCTATATTTATATCCCCTGTGTTTTCTTATCTATCGCTGCAGCCTCATCATGATAAGAACCATGTACATCCCCACCACCTCTGGATTAGCGCTCTGTCCTCAGACTGAATAATAATAAAACTCCAGCAGCAAAAACACTCAGTTCACAGGCATCGAGGCGTGAGACTGAAGTGCTTCAAGCCATGACATTCTCTTACCGTTTCACCATGACCAAAGCTTTACTAACCAATGTCGTCGTCGCTACTCTGGCTTTGTCTTAGCATCTGACTTAGCGCTGACCTTAACACTGTTGTTTATGTCTGTCAGCCCTCTGTTAGCCTCTGTTAGCCAGATGTCAATCAATGTCTGTGTGGGTCACATGTTCACTTCAGCTTAGTGGGCTCCACCATAGCTGTTTGTTGATGATTAGCATCTTTAGCTAGTTGCAGCAGCTAAACTGGGGCATCTTCTTGTGACTGCTAGCATCTGTGGCACCGCTAGCTTTTGTTCCTTATGTATTTGACTTGACTTGAGCTCCAGCAGGTTGTCTGCACTTTAACAACACTGGTTTCCACTCGTTCATAACCTGCAGATCCCTATGTGACCACTAGGGTTGTCGAAAATAGTGTGTTAATTGCTTTACATAATTTGCAGAGATGATTGTGATTCCAAATTTGAAATGCATTGTAATGCTAGCATATATAGCACATCTGAGCAGCATATGCAATCAATCATGATTAACCAATCATGATCAATCCACTGCTATCCTGTGATTATTCTGATGAAAAATTTTAATTGATTGAAAGCCCTAGTGAGGGCATATTGACTAAACGGCTAACTTAGCTAGGACGTGAAGTGGCCCCAGAGAGGAGAGCACTCGTTTTTTTCATGCATAGAGGGGCCGAAGCTGAACTCTGCTTCCTCCTCCTCCTCCTCTTCCTCCT